TCCAGGCTCTTCCGTGATCCACCCCAGTGCCAACTTATGTTGACTCATTGGCTCACATTTGTCATTCTGCCCCCACCTCCGAGCTGTACCTGCATGAGAGGTGGGTGCAGACCCTTGCCTGTCCCCCACCCTTGGGACGCCTGTGGGCCTAGTCCAGCTTTGCCCTGGCTCTCTCCAGACCTTTGGGAAGTCTGATCCTGCCCCAGGTCTCAGCTTCCGTATCTGCAAAGCTTAGGCGCTAGAAATAATCCCTTACTGTCCTTTCTCCTCTGGAGCCTCTGATTTGATCGTTGCCAGACCCAGGAAGGGAGGGTATATGTTTGCCCTTTTTGCCCTCTGCAGATCTTCCTCAACTTACAATGGGGTGACCCCCCCAATAAATCCATCATGAGTGGAAAGCAACTGTAAACTGAAAATGCATTTAATACACCTAACTTACCGAACAGCACAGCTTAGCTTAGCCTACCTTAAACTCCCAGAACACGTCCAGTAACCCACAGTTGGGCAGAAGCATCCAACACAAAGCCTATTTTATAATGAAATGTTGGCTATCTCGTGTACTTTATTGAATGCCGTACTAAAAGTGGAAAACAGGATGGTCGTATGGGGACAGCATGGCCTTCAGCATGTCCGTCGTGAACCCTCGTGGTCGCGTGGCTCCCTGGGGGCTACGGCTGCCGAGCATCACAAGACTGTGTCCAATTCAAAATCTGAGGTGTGGTTTATCGCTTTCGCAGGGTCGTAAAGTCAAAACATCGTAAATCGGGGACCGTCTGTATTGTATTTGGTAGAAGTTTCCAGGCAGTGGTTCTCCCTTGCCCAAGCAGGAAGATCTCCTGGGTGTTTTGGAAAATGCTGCCCTGCCATGCCTGGTGAACCAGAACCACCCCACCCCAGACAGGGCCCGGGCACCCGTGGCTTGGTTAAAACCCTTGACTCTGATGCATCATGAGGACTGGGTTTTTCAGGCGAATCGTCTCAGGTGATCCTCACACCTTCGTGGGTTGACGAGGGTTTGATGGCCCCCTTCGTGCCAGTGAGGCTGGGTGGAGGCAAGTTTGCCTCCACCGTGAAGCTGGAAGCTGGGGTCCGCATGTCCCACTGACCAGGACGATGGCCCCGCTGGGCCTCACGCCCCGTAGCTAGAGAGGCCCGATGCATCAGTTGCCGGGTCTCCCAGACGGAGGCACGCTGTGGTCCCTGGGCCCCAGGAAAGCTCCAGAGAGAGCTCCTGACAGTGACATCTCTTTCCTGGAGAGACCGCCAGGCCCGGCTGCTGTGATGGCAGGTGTCCACCAGAGGGCGCCATGGCCCGGCGCCGCTCAGCTGGGCTCCGCTCTGCGAACCCAAATGCTTTTTAATTGAAAATTTTTTTAATTCAAAAAGGATTTGCTGTTTGTACGCGAGTGCAGGTTTTCCTTATGCAGGAGACTAATGTCTTGAGTAAACAGATCCGGGCCCAAATCCACCTTCAAAGGTACTTGCTGTTTGCCCAAGGGAGTGAAAGGCCTTCCAGAAGCGGCCCTAGTCTCTTGGGCAAACACTTTGGGGCCAGCAATCCCAGGCAGAAGACAGTGTCTGTGGGAAGGGTTATCCGCAGCCTAAGGGGGATTATGTCTGGGGACATATGTTGAAATTTCATTTGGGGAGTTAGAGAAAACAAGAGGTTGGGGGTGGGAGGGTAATGCTTTTCTCCAGCCAAGATAACCTAAAAAGGGAAAGCTCCCAAGGGTAGGAGTGGGGGGACAGCGATCTGTGCACTGTGCCGCCCCGCCGAGTCCTGGCCTTCTGGAGGGGGGAGGGGCGGGCGCAGGCTGTGAATCCGGAAAGGGCAGCATACTCGGGACTTCTCGCTGCTTCATTTGAGAGGTGCCTTCTGTATGCTGCCCCCAGGCAGGCATCTCCCAGGCATGGCCTCAGGGCAGCCGAAGTAAAGCCCGCCAGCTCCCCCCGCCCCAGCCCTAATGTCTCTAGCCCTCTGCTTTCTGCCCACTCCCACCCACATCCACTCCTGCGTCCCCTTGGTTGGGCCACAGAACTGTCCGAACTGGTCCCCAGAACAGCAGCGGCAGGTCGCCTAGGAGTTGGTTGGAAATGCAATCCTGGGCCCCACCCCAGGCCTTCTGAGTCAGAATCTGCATTTTACCAGGACCTCCAGGGACTTTTGCGCAATAAAGGCTGATCAGCCCCCCCAGCACTTGCCCTGGGTTCCCCCCTCCCCACCCCTGAGGGGCGGCCGCACCCACCACACTGGCAGCTCTCCAACCTTCCCCAACCGAGTCTGCTCTCCTCCCTGGCCCACTCCCCCAGGTCCTCCACCCCAAGTGCCAGGCCTGTCCTCACCCTCTGAGCCTGTGCGCATTTCCTAAAACCTCTCTCCATCGTCATTCCAGCTACCCTTGCCCCCCACCCCCACATCCCCAGTGCTTCCAGTTCCCAACCTTTTGTCCCTGGTTCCATCTCTCCCCAGCCAGGCAGCTACCCCAGAGCCACGGGCAGAAATGCACTCATGTTCTCCCCCAACCCACCCTTCCTCCTGTGTTGCCCAGTTGGGTTAGCAGTGCTGACATGCCCCTGCCCTACTGCCCTCGTGGGGCTCTTGCCCGACCCTGGGGCCTAGCACGGGGTGAACACTGTGGTGGGTGCTGATGGAGCCCAGGGAACCTTTCCTGCCGTGATGCACCTGAGCAGCCACCAGGTGGCGGTATTGTCCCAGACTTCGCCCGGAGGCGGCCTCCTCTGGGGCTGCTCCACTGGGCCAGCTTCCTGGAGCTGGAGTCCAGCTGTGGCCCGTGCCCTGGTCATCGGGGAGCAGGTTGGGAGCTGCTTTGTTAGTTTCTCAAGTAGCCAGCAAATGTGTCTGGTGACCGCAGATAGCTCGCCCCATCCCCACAGCCAGCCCTGGGAGAGACTGTGATCCCACTTTTTTATTGAGGTATAATTGACAGAGAACATTGGTTTCAGGTGTACGTTAATATAATGATCCGTATTTGTATATATTGCAAAATGATCAAAACATGTCCAGTTAAAAATTTTGTAACCATGGTGACAGATGTTAACTCTTAGCAACTTCTCAAGATGAATGCTTGTCAGCCAGCTGTATGTGCCTCCCCTGGACCCACTTTACAACTGGAATCTGTACTTTCGACCCCCCTCCCCGGGCAACCCCCAGCCTGTTCTCTGTACCTATAAGTAGGGGGGGGGTTAGATTCCACATATAAGTGAGGTCACATGGTCTTTGTCTTTCTCGGACTTCCTGCGCTTCACATAATGCCTTCGAGGTCCATCCATGTTGTTGCAAACGGCAAGATTTCTTTTTTTATGGCTGAATAAGATCCCATTGTAGCTCTACGCCGCGTCTTCTTCATCCCTTCACCTGTCGTCCGACATCTGTTGGAGATAATGCCGCAGTGAACGTGGGGCTGCAGGTATCTTTTTGAGTTAGTGTTTTTGTTTTGTTTGGATAAATTCCCAGAAGAGGAATTGCTGAGTCCTAGGGGAGTTCTAGTTCTAATTGTGTGAGGATCCTCCATACCGCGTTTCACGCCGGCTGCACGCGTTTGCATTCCCAGCAGGCCCGAGGGTCCCCCTTTCTCCACATCCTCACCAACACTTGTTATTTCTGACCGTGGCCGAGGTTCAGAGAGGAGCAAAGTCAAGTCCTTCCCTCCCGCCCCTTCTGGTGATAGACGATGTCTGTAGGCACCACCGTCCTACCTGTGTCGCCGGGGCTGTGTCGCTTGAGGCTGTTCACACCTGTGGTTCACACAGGGACAGGATGGGGCTCAGCCACGGTCTGCGTCTGTCTGTGCTGGGCCAGCCCCGTGGGGCCCTCAGGCAGGGGCAGCTGAGGACACAGTGCTGGGCAGCCGGGTCTGCTGGCTGCCTCCTCACCATTTCCACTTGAGGGGAAAAACCCTCAAAGGTCTGTAGCTGCCCCTCATTCTTGACCAACCGCTAAAGCCCTCAGCGCTTAGCTGTTCTGCTGTGGCAGGCAACATCCCTGGGGGCGGGGGGGGGGGCAGGCAGCCAGGCTTCCTGTCACACACACACACACCCCCCGTGTCCCTGAGGAAATAGCTTCCTCAACCAGGGCAGCTCCACTTTGCTCTGCTTACAGGGAGGAGCCCTTTTTAGGGCAATTCTACTGCTAAAAAGTCTCGATAGGATTTCAAACGTTTAAGCACCATTGACCTCATCTAAGCTTCTCGTTCCTAAAGCCCTGGGACCACAGCCTGCTGTGGCATAGCGTGCCAGGCCCTGCCCCCGACCCCACGGCCCAGCTCTGCTGCAGGGCCCCCCTCGCCTGTGCCCGCCCGGCCCACCAGCCCCACATTTGGATGGTGCCATCCCTCCTGGCCCTCGGGGCAAACCGCAGGCGGTCCCCCTTCCCCAACAGAGGTACTTGCGTTTGAATTTCCATCAGACTCGGAACCTACCTTTACACGTTTCCACGACCTAGAGTCAGGTAAGCTTCAGTCTTCAGCATGAGGTGGGACAGGTGTGCCCCTCCAGGGACCGCCCTGGTCCAGGCTGGGTGGCCGGCGTGGGGTGCTGCCCCCCACCCCCCGGGGTCACCTAGCATGTCAGCAGGCGTGCCAGGAGGCACCGAGTCCAAGGGTCCCCTGGGCCTGGTGGCTGGCCTCAGGCCAGGTGGGGGATGGAGTTGCAGGGCAGTCCTTTACCTTGCCTGCGACCCCTCTCCCGGCAGGCAGCCTGGCCCACGGTCAGCCCGTGGCTTCGGGCACCACGGTCCCTCCCTAACGGTGAGCAGAGCAGGGACTGTAGTCACAAGCTGGGGGGCCACCTGCAGCCGCAGAGGTGTGTCTCTCCACACCCCCCACCCCCGCACGCTGCACCCAGAGGGCGCCCATTTCTGTGCGCGCATGCTCGGCAAGGTGGCACCGGGGCCCCCCACGGGCCAGGCCTGAGGCCTGGGAGTGCTTCTCTCTGCTGTTCTCCCGCACTGACCCTGCCGCTCTGTCCTCTCGCTCCTCCAGTATGAATACAGCTTCCGCACGGAGCAGAGCGCTGCGGCCCGGCTCCCGCCCAGCCCCACTCGGTGTCAGCAGATCCCCCAGTCCTGAGGGGCCGGCCGCCACCCTGGCCCCGTGGGGAGAAGACGCGGCTGCCCAGACTACGGAGCGCCCCTCCCTCGCCCAGGCCCTCCTGCCCGCCCACCGCGGGGCTCATCCGGGAGACCCTGGGCAGCTGGGCTGTGGCCTCCGCTTGCCTGACGGGACAGCCCCGCCTCCCTGGCGACACTCTTCATAATCTGGACTAATCTGTGTGTGTTGTAGTGACCGGCGGCTCCCAACGTGTCTGTGTGACGACCAGCCCTCCCACGAACAGCCCCACCCCCGCGGGAGTCACCCCTGAGGGCCCCGCACACCGGCTGGAGCCGCCCCGTGACGCCTTGGGCCCCCTTTCCTCCCGACTGTTGGCTGCCACGACGCTATCCGGCTCCTTCTGGAAGCCCCGGGGTGGGGGGCAGCTGTACAAAGCCCCCTCCGGCCTCACCGCGGGCCCCAGACGCGGGGCTGCCGTGGAACAAGTCCCTCCCGCCAACAGCAGCAAGCGCCCTGCGCATTTCACGCAACGCGGAGGACGCACGGGAGGAAGAAGCCCGTCGTCCCCAAGTGGCCCCGAGCCTGGGTCCCTGCCCCGTGGTGGCCCCACTGAGGTGGGGGAACAGCCGCCTGGCTGCCCACACAGGGGACTTGGCTTCTGGGCGAGAAGGCGGAGGGACCTGGTGCTTGCTCGGAGGCGAGTCTCGCTGCCCAGGACACTGTGCTCACCCCCCACGCCCCCCGTTCCTCCCAAAGGGCTCATCTCTGCAATGCCCACGTGCCAACTGCCACGCCAGCCGCCTCAGCCCAGGGACGGGCCCGCCGCGGGTGAGGAGCCGCTCAGCCAGTGCCCAGCCCCAGAGGGACGCGGGGCCGGGGTCAGCCCGCTCCTCAGAGCCCGGCTGCATCGTGATGCGCTCCGCAAACAGCAACAGTTGTTTCAGGAAGTCCACGTGAGCCAGGCCACCGAACTGGGGCCAGCGTGGACACGTGTGCCACGACCAGCCAGTGGACGCACAGGCACTTCTCACCGTGCCGGCTGCCGCCATCCCTGGGGACTCGGGCCCTCCCCCCCAGTGGCCTGCCTGGTCTAGCTCTCAGGATTGGTCCTGAATTAGTTCCACAGAATGTTGGTCTCTCCCCTCTTGGGGGTCCCCAGATGGTGGGAGCTTTGGACATGTGTCTGGAGGCTGGGGGGGGCGGCATGGAGAGCGGGAAGGGTCCCTCACCACGAAGGGAGCCCAGGAGAGCCATGGCCGGGGATGGACCCCACCTCCCTGGGGCTCCTGGGATGGCTTGTGGTGGCCGGGGCACAACAGGCCAGCACCGTGAGGAGGGTGGCCGCTGGCTAAGAAGTAGGGCGGACAAAAATACCTCATGTACCTTTATGGGCCCCACCATCTCCAGCAGCTCCACCCGCCCCCCTGGGTCGCCCGTGGATCATTCGATACCTCCTGATCTCTGTGCATTAGGGAAGTGGTCGCCTCTCCCTGCCTGCGCCCGGACCTGAGGACATCCCTGGTGGGGCCGGCCTTTCTGGGCCTCCCACACAGCAGAGTGGCAGGAAAATGCAGATAGTGGGTGGAACCCCCAGGGGGCCACAGGCTGGAGCCAGCAGTCCGTCGGAGGACCCTTGGGGATTGGTGCTTAACCAGGAGAGGAGAGAGCTCTTGAACTGGTCTCAGATGTCCCCACTGAAATTAGCTAGTCGTCCTTCTGGGCATTGGAGCCCCGTGGGGCCCAGAGGACCCGGGTCTGCTGCTGCTTTTTGGATGGGTGGCTGGTCCAGAACCAAGTGACCCGTGTGACCTGAAGCCCAACCGAGAGGGGCAACTGATTACTCCTCTTCACTTGGTCACAGCCTGTGAGATGGTCACCTGACAGCGCCTGGTGGCCCTGGTCTGACAACCGGGCATTTTAGCAGAGAGGTCCAGAGACGTGCGCGCAGGAGCCCGAGTCCAGGCGCACGAAGGCGGAGCCAGGCCGGGAGGGTGGCTATCCGGAGAGGAGGAGGGGGGCGCGACCTCCCGAGCCCCCAGGCCGTCCTGCAGATAGGGGACGGACCCAGAGCGAGGCCGGGCGGGGGGCCGCCAGGAAGAGGGCTGAGCGGCTGGGCTTGGACAGGCTGTGCCACCTCCACCACCTCGTAGACAGAAGCCACGTGTGACAGTGACCGTTTGTACCCCTGAGCCCCCCTTAGACAAGTTAGACAGTGACCGGGGTAGATTGCAGGCTTGCCCTCTTTCCTGGCCTTCTGAGAGGTGGGGGGGCAAGCGAGCGTGTGACAGTAGGCTGGGGGGGAGGGGCGCATGGGGGCGCGTGCAGACCGCAGGAGAGCCTGGACCCCTGGCTCGTGCCTGGGAGCGTTTCTGCACCAGCCTGGCCCTCGGCCCCCCAGCACGCCCTGCTGCCGTCCCCCCTCAGAAAGACTAACCAGAGCACAGCTTCCCTGTTGTCTTTCCTCTTCCCTCTGAAAATTCAGTCTCCCTCCAAAGCCCTTGGGAATGGCACAAAGGTAACAAGGAGTAAGTCGTTGGCTTCATGGCCACTCACAAATTTGTTTCAAGGCTTTTTCCCCACCCCGAGTCCAGGAACTAATCCGGGCCATGACCCTCTTCCGCTTGGGGGGCTGGGAGCCCCGGTGGCGACGTGCCCCAGCCGCCTCCCTCGCTGGAAGTCCGGACTGCCGCCCCCAACACTCCCCTGCCCCGTGTCCTGCGGGACACCCTCCCGGGGCAGGAGACAGCAAGGACTCACCCGCATCGAAGCCCCTGCTCCTTGCCAGGCCCTAGGCCGGCACTTTAAGCACATTTTCTCCTGTTGTTCCCCTTAAAAACACACACACCCAGAAGCGGATGTCCGTTGCTCCTTGGGGCAGTGGAGGCCCGTCTGCGGGCACGGAGCGGGCACGGGGCAGAGCCGGAATCTGGAGCCGAGTCTCGTCTCGCAGCCGCCCCGTCACAAGCACAGGTCCAGTAAAGACTTCCCAGCGCCACCAGCCACGCTGGTTCTAGCATGATCGGCCACTGCTGCATGGCGCCATGGTGCTCAGCGTGGGGCAGGAGCCCACCTGCCCACTCGCTCCACCCCGGCCAGGGCCCCCCCGGACACCCGGGAGCCTGAGGGCCAAGCAGGTGCATGCCTGTGGGGGCCAGAAGCCGAGCTCGTTTGACTCGGTTCACCGTCCGCCGTGCCCTCGGGCCATGGAGGGGGTGGCCAGGCCCCCACCCCACCCAAGCAGCCTGGCACCCCTGGGTCGGCCCCTCTTTCTTCGCCCCTTGTGAATGCGGCCCGGGAGCGGCCGTCGCCCCCCGTTCTCCCGGCAGAAGGCGTGGGAGCTGCCCTGGGGCCGCCCGCTGTGCACTTGCCCTAGGAACAATGTCCTTACCGTATTTATTTGAGGTGACTCTTGTATTTGGCAAAGGGAAGTTCACTGTGTGATTGTCTGTCTTAATATAATTTGTTAAATAAACGTTTGTTTTAACCTTTTCCCGGCTTGTTGCTGTGCTACCTGAGCAAGGCCAGAGTCCCTCAGGGGAGGCTCCAGGCCCCAGCGCCCGCCCCAGCTCCTCGCAGATGCTGGCGGGGCCCCCCGAGAGCCACCACCGGGCCTCCCAGCCCTCCAGAAAGCACTGGTGGCCTTCTCTGCCCCCGTTGAGTTGAGAGACCTGGGTACAAGCCAGAGGAGTTCAGGAGGGCAAAGCAAGCCCTGCCCTTCTCTGGGAACAGCCCTCAGGAACGCTCCTTGCAGGTGAAAACCCCCGTCACCACGAAACGCTGCAACAGGCCCCCAGCAAGGAATGCAGGGGTGCGCTTTCATGTGCGCCGGGCTCAGAGCCGGCGGGCTGCTCAGAAGGACATGCGGCCCCCACAGTCTCAGTCCTGTCCCGACTGCTCACCTGCGTGCAAGATGCCCTCCGAGCGCCAGGGAAGGGACCAAAGGGCCACAGGACACGGCCCGGGGCTCCTTGCGAAGCCCCGTCAGTTCAGGCTTCACTGTCAAAGCTCTGCCTCCTTTAGTAGTGACCTTTGCATTTTTGGGGCTAGACATCAGAGTCTGAGCTGTCACTGCCTCCGGCCCTGTTTATGCCACACTCAGAACGGGGCCACCTTTAGCTCAGCTCTCATGAGGACCAGGAGAGCCCCCAAAGTGTCCGTGCCTCCAGCCCAGGATGCCCACCTCTGGCAGCTCTCAGGAGAAAGGGAAAGCAGCCCAGAGAATTTCACGAGAAACCCACAAAGCACACTCAACGTGGAGTTTGAAGAGCTAGACTCAGATTCTGGCTCTGCCACTGCCTGACCATGTGGCCTTCAGCCAGTTACCCAGCACCCCCAGAAGGGGGCCACCGCCTCCCTCCGTGGCTTGCCCCAGGAAGATGGGATGAGGACGCCCGCAGGGCACTGAGCATAAGCAGAGACCAAGGGACACGCCAGGTCTTTGGGGCCAGGCTTCTGTGTGGCCATCCACACCACTGAGTCCCTACAAGTGCTGGGTCTCAGGGGAGTGCAGGTGATGGCCTCCGGCATCCGGGACACAGTCTGTTTGCAAGGGGCCTCATGCTCTGCTCGGGAAGGCAGACAAATGGATCCCCCGGGGCCCCGGGGGAGGCACCTCACTGGCCTTTGGGCAGCAAGAAACCAAAATCTACTCACCGCAGCCTAGGCCAGGGCAGGGTTCATGGCCAGACCAGGCGCCCGTTTCTCCTGTTCTTGCCCATGCCGCCTCACCTGCCTCCACCTGGCCACCTGCTTCCCATCCTCACACACTCTGGCCTTCCCTCCCGTGTGCTCTCTATGCCAGCACACAATGCACATGCACTCATGCGTCCACAGGCCACTCAAGTTTATGTGTCCGTTCAGAAGATCCAAAGGCGACAATCCCAGGGCAGATTCTGATCGGTCAGCCTGGGTCAGGTGACCCCTCTGGCCCCGGGCAGCTCAGGCCCTGGGGGCAGGGGAGTGTGTGATCATAACGTATCTGGAGCAGGTCTAGATTTATTCAGACCCTCGACAGACATCTCCCCATTGACAGGAGAGTGAGGGCCTGGAGGGGGAGGGGGAGGGGGAGGGGGAGGGGGAGGAGGGGCAGCCCTGCCCGGGAAGACAAAGAAATCCTCCATCAGCAGATCTGTGCCATGGGGAGAAGCCACTGAGGTGGACGGAGTATCATTCATCCTCCCATCCATCTATCCGTCCAACCCCTCACACCATGTGTTAGGAGCACCTTCCGTGTGTAGGGCCTGAGCCCAGCACTGGGGATTCAGCAGCGACCCAACACCACTGACATCCCTGTCCTCACAAAGCTGACAGTCTAGCCTGTCCCACTCTACCCCCCACATCCCCTCCGCCATGTCTCTCCCACTTCTCCCCCTGCTTCTGCTTGTGTGTTCCTAGCCACCCTGGCTCATCCCTACAGCTCTGGGCTCGCTGAGCCCCACCCTGACCTCTCCCTCTCCTGCATCCTCCCTGCTGCTGCCTGGGGGGCGGGGGGCAGCCTGGGTCTTCCACTGTGCTTAGTTGGGTCACAGGCCAATCTCCCTGAGCTCCAGCAGCCACCAGGGAGCGCCACCTGGGTGTTACACCTTGACCTCAGCACATCCCAAGCCCAGTGTACCATCTCCCCCCTCAAGCCCCAAACTGCTCCCCTTCTCCTGACTCCCTGTCCTGGAACAGGCCCCCCATCTCCTGCAGAGGTGCCCCCACCACCACCTGGAGCCATCTGTGATCACCCCTTTTCCAGCTGGATAGTTCGCCCATCTAAATTTGTGCTCAAACTCAGCCACTATTTTCTCTTCTAGCTGCTCCTTTCCCAATTCTGCCCCTTGACACGTTTCACCTGGATTACAGCATCAGCCCCTTAACCATTCCTGCCCTCCCCCTCCCGCCTCCAGGGTCGTCTTCTCCCATCCATCTGCCTCAGAGTCACCCAACGGGGCTCCTCCACTTAAAATGCTTCACCCCTTACCCTAAGAACAAGATCGAAGCCCCTGAGGTTTCCCAACACCACCTTTCTCAGTCTGACCCCTCCTCCTGTCCCAGCCTCATCTCCTGCAAATCTCTCTGATGGATTATTTGTGATTTCGCATACTCTAAACTCTGTACTTCCTTGCCTTTGCATATGCTATTCCCTCTACCTAGAATGCTTTTCCCTCATTTTTCTGCCTGGTCAAGTCCTGCTCATCCTCTAAGACTCTGCTCATACACCTCCTATGTAATGTCCTGCCTGATCCCTTGGAGGCAAAGCTAACGTTCCTCCCCTTCAAGCCACCCCACACCTTGTACACTGGAACCACTGACCCAATGGCAATACTGCAGCCCTTTGATTCTTTCACTAGATGATCTGCTCCCGAAGGAAGGGGTACAGGTCTCATTTAGGACACCTTCCTCCATAGCCACACACATATGCAAATCAAGCACCTAGCACAGGCCTAGAATAAAAAACAGGCATGAGCAAACGCTCCTTGAATGAATTCCTCAAAGTAGGTGGGGAGACAGGTGGGCTGGACTCCACTGCTGAGCAGCCCAAGAAGAATGGGCCCCAGTGGCACCTGCTGCGATGCTTGTGACCACCCCAGGGACTGTGATGACCAGCAGCAGCCCTCCCTGGACAAGTCCTGATGCTGACCCCAAAGAGGCCAGAGACCAGAGTGAGAACTGGTCCCTCACCTGGCCCATCTCTGAAGCCACGGCATCCAATAAGATCCATGATGGGTGTGTGGCAGGAAGATGAATGGCCGTGGGCTGCTGGTTCTCCACCTCAAGCCCAACTTATGGGGCTGCCACAAAAAGAAGAAGATCAATGGATCACAGGAGCTAGGAGGGGCTTGGTTTTGGGGAAGAGCAGCAGACCAGAGGGAAAGATGGCCAATGCCACAGATGAGAGATGACATGGAGAAGCAATTTGCTGGCTATGCTCATTGATCACACACACACACACACACATACACCCCACCACCACCACCACCCCCACCACCACCCCGGGTGGGTCATTTCATCCTTTCCCCACCAAAACAGCAGCTCAGCTGACCCCTGAGCTCCCTCCTCCCCTCACCCCCACCTTGGGCCAGGTAAGTGCAACCAGAGACATAAGTCTTAGGACAAGTGGTGCTAGGAAGAGGTCTTGGCCATTTCCATGAGGGTCTGGATCTCCTGAAGGGGGAGGGCACATAGGCAGACATTGGCACAGTTGAACACCTAAGGCACATCCATCCCCCCATCTTCCTCTGGAGGGAGCACAAAGTTTCATGACCTTAACTGCATAATAGAACCACCTAGAGTGTTTTCAAAACTTCCTGTGCCCAGACCACACCTAGATCCGTGAAATCAGAGTCTCTGGAGGAGGACCCATGAGTCAGTCTTCTTCATTCTCCCCAGGTGATGCCAATGTACAGCTGAGATTAAGAACCACCAAGCTGTGGGCTTTAACCACATCCCTCAGTTACATGTTACCAGCAATGAAGCTTAGAGTCCCCAGGAATAAATCCACGGGAAAAAAACAGACTCCAGAAGAGCTGGTCCACCAAAAGGAAGACAAGACACTGACCAAACAACATCAGGAAAACAGTCCAGACAGAACATGAATTTAATATAAACAAAAACTATCCCCCCGAGAGAGAGGAGGACACTGGAAACATTAGGGTCTTATCCAAAACAACCTGCTCCTGCCCATCAAGAAACACTAACAGGCCAGAGAGGAAAAGAAACCGATAAATCAACAATTACACTTTAAGATTTTACTATGCCTCTCCTAGAAACTAGCCAAATTGATAAAACATGAGCAAATACAAGGCAAGCATGACCCTGATACCAAAACCAGACAAAGACACCACAAGAAAATTACAAACCAATATCCCTGGTCAACACAGATGCAAAAATCCTTAACAAAACATTAGCAAACTGATTTCAACAATGCACTACAAGGATCATGTACGATGATCAAGTGGGATTTATTCTAGGAATGCAAAGATGGTTCAACATCCATAAATCAATCAATACTACACCACATTAACAAAACAAAGGATGAAATAGATGCAGAAAAAGCATTGGACAAAATTCAACATCCATTTATGATAAAAAAACTCTTAAAGTGGGTATAAAGGGAATGGACCTATACGTTCCTATACCTATACATTCTCTATACCATAATAATGGCTTTATAGGACAAGCTCATGGCTGACATACTCAATGGTGAAGAGCTTTCAGGGACAGGAGCTAAGCAAGGATGCCAACTCTCACCACTTTTATTCAACATAGTATCAGAAGTCCTAGCCAGAGCAATTAGGCAATAAAGAGAAATAAAATACATCCAAATTGGGAAGAAAGAAGTTGTCATTATTTGCAGACAACATGATACGATAGAAAACCCTAAAGACTCCACCAAAAAACTGTTAGAATGAATTCAGTAAAGTTGGAGAATATAAAATCAATATACAAAAAAATCAGTTGCATTTCTACACACTAATAATGAGCCATCACAAAGAGAATTTAAG